CACTCTATGACTGAAAAGATGGTCTATATTTCACCTCAACAGGGTGAAATCTTAAGCCAAAATGGAGCGCTTTCCTTATTGCATGTACACACACACCCACCCCTTCATCAGCTTGCTCATCTTTAACTGATTATGATAAATGAAAACTGAACCATCAAGCTGGGTTCATATCAGTCAGGCTCTTGCAGGCAGTGTTGTCTTACCCAGGGCTTGAAGAAAGCATTTGTCTTGGGGAAGTAGTAAAAATGGAAAACCTTTTTCCTGAAAGCATACAGGAATAGTAATGGAATAACTTTTTTTCTGCTCTCAGTGAGCTGATTTGCAGAATTGCTTTTAGAAGCACAGAAATTGTGACTTACGTTAGTGGTCCAGTTAAGTGTTAAAAAGTTCTGGGTGTTTTTTCCCTTGTTTTTTTTAATACTTTTTCTTCACCCATAGCAGTGTGCACTCTTCAGAGGCTGCTCTCTGTTAGTCTCTAGATCAGGGGAAAGGAGTCTGCCTCCTACTTGTCTTGCTGTCTTTCAGTCCTCTTCCAACTTGGCTCTGAACCACCACGGCATCCCTTGACTCCTTTCAGTGGGTCTGTTCGAGCAAGGCTGCCTGGCTTTAGGCCCTTAAACAGTTGATTTTATGAGATCTAGGCTGCAAAGTACATAGCAGCCAGAAAATCAACTTGCTGAGTGCATGAGAGGGATAAAGTACAGTACTGCTTTTTTTTTTTTTCTTAAACTCACTCTAGCCATTCTTGGAGGTCATCATGTAATACTAGATGGGATAAAATGAACACGGGACACTTTTTTTTTTTTTTTTCCCCTGAGTTTTGTATTTCCATGATGGTAGAGAGAATTTTCAGCATATTTAATGTGTCCAGGCTGACTGTGCAAGTAGCAAGAGACTGGCTGCAAAAGTAAATTCAGAGATGCTCCTGTAGAGCCTTTCAGAGGTTGGGCTTGTGAAAACCGTGCAGTAAGATGGAAGTGGCAGGAAGATGCCACTAGTGAAGTCTTAACCTTGTTATTTTTCAGTGATCAGGGTCCAAATGGAAATGAACCCAATAAACGATGCCTGTAGCTCTGTGATACTTGAGGGCCCTAGTAGCTTTCATACATTTACTCTGATAGAGAGATTTGACATAAAATCCCCTCTGCTTGGAACCACTCATCTGCTTCATTTTGTGCTCTTCATGTGAGATACTGATACATAGCATGGTGGGTATTGATGTAGTAATCTACAAAAAAATCACCTTGCCCTGAATGGATTTAGGTAAATTCTCTACTTAAAGTTCAGTTATCTTCCAAATTTTCCATTGATTAAATGTATTTGAATTCCTTTAGAAAGCTCTTGTCCATGTGTAAATATTTCGTCCATTTCACAATGAAAAGATAGCAACCATGCAGTATTTATTGTACCTTGTTACTCGGTGATTCTCTATTTCATTCAAGTTTATATTGGATTAGATCTGCAGAACATATGGTGGGGTTTTGGTTGTGTTGGTTTGGGGTTTTTTTTTAAAATGCTGTTTTTTCTAATCAGTTAATTGTATTCAACATGTGTCCCAGACTTAAGTTACCCTAAAGGAGTGTAGGACAATTCTTGTTGGGTGATTACTCCACTGAAGGTTTTTAGACTGTCCTTAAGTTCTGGATCTTCAGTAGATACTCAGAGGTTTGAACAAGACTTCTTAAATCTTGCTTCTGCCAAACTGTATGTCTTCGGTCAAGTTGTTGATACTTGCCTTGCCATGGTGTTAGACAGTAAACCGAGCAAATATGAGCAAGCACTGTAGGAGGAGTCAGTCATCCCTTTGTTTTCTGAAGGCATTTAAGAGGCTTGAAAGTAGTTTGACTTAATGAAAAGTTGTGTTGATGTCTTCAGCTTGTTAATGATGGAGCAGTGGGTGTAGGTACGCAGTAATTCATCAGTAAGCAAAATTCATATCCTCTGGGCAGTGAGGTGTGGCTATAATATGTTAGTGAACTTGTTTTCTTTTGCTTGGTGTAGCTCTGGGGTTTCTGATGTCTTGGCTATGGCCTGAGGATGTGGAGACTAGACTTGCTAGAGCGGCTGCGGTGAAATGGGTGTGGGTGATCAGGCCAGGCAAATACAGAGTGGCAACCTGAGAGGACTGGCTTTATTTAGTCTATATATAATGGGGCAGACTTGTGCTGTACCTCTAGGATTAAAGGGTACAAATTAAAGAGCAAACTTCTGCTGAAAGCAAACTTACTGATGATTCTGGAAATTCATAAAACATACTATTTAACACATCTGGCCAAAACCTCTCCTGTTATCTCTCAGAATATTAATTTATGTTTCCTGAGAACTGTGTGCTTGTGCTTGGTGCTGGCTTCAAACAGCTACAGGAAACTTGAAAATGGGCTTCTGAAAACTTCAGAAATACAGCAAATACCCTTGCAACCCTGTTTAACTGGCCAAATAAGAGGACAGCCTTCTTGAGTGCATTTAGTACATGTCTAAAGCACCTGAATTTGACTGTGCAACTGGGTTGCTGAAGTGCCTGCTTGGCAATATTGGTCATTTGGGGGATTTTTTTCTCTTGCCTTTGTGTTCTTGGATGGTGAGAGGATAAGCAGGCAGAAGATGGGGAGGATAATGGAACAATAAATACAGTGCTGGTTAAGAGGAAGGATCAAGAGGTGCTCAGGGATGTAGCCTGTCTCTTCCTCTTCACTCTCAGTCCACTTAAAACTTTAAAAGATAAGGGCGCAGGATGTAATTCAGTCAAGATTGGAACAAAAGCAGCTCCCTCATTTGACCTCAATAAACATTTGTTTGTTGTCTCAAACCAAGGCAAGAAATACTTTTAATTACATATCTAGCAAGTTCTCCCCCTAAAGGGAATAAAGTAGCCTTCTGACTGCCTGTGTTTACTGCCTCATGAGTCACTGCATGCTGCCTGGACATATGTTTCCCTTGTATCTGTAGCTCTATGAACTTCTCCAGCCTGCGTGCAATACTTGCATGCTAATCTGAATTTGTCCTCGCAACCTGTTAGTTACCGCAGAACTGCCCTCGCTTCTCTGGTGGCAAACCAATGCTCACCATCTTAATGGCATGCCAATGTGGTTGAGGCTCACCACATTAATGCTGTGTCTCTGTAGGTTTGTGGAGAACACAGCCTAGATTCCCTGGATTCCTGTCCAGTGCTATCACCAAAGAGGGCTCCTTCTCTTGGCATAAGTTTTCTGCTTTGAAATGTCATGCTTCTGTGTTAATTTTTTTCTGCTTGTGCTGTTCTTTCTCAAGACCCTGGGAGAAGAGGTGTTAATGCGCTGCACCAAGTGCATTGGCTTAGAGGGGTTGGAGCTGTTTCACTATAGTCCATCTCACAAAGGGGCCTGGGGCCTTGCCAAGCTCACCAGCAAGAAGATGTGTGTTCTTTTGTGTACTTCTTTTTCTAAAATAGCTTTAGCCTTGTATTTTTGTGATCCAAGTGTACTTACGGAGTAACAGTGGTTTTTCTTTTTTTTTTTTTCATGAATGGCTATAAAAAGTGCCCTGTAGCAGTTAGTGCCACACAAAGAATTTGTTTTTCTGCTTCCAGAGGGCTTTGGCTTCTCTGCAAATTGGTGGGTTTTCACAGTGCGTTTGGCACAGCCTGTTCCCAGATTTGGCTTGGTGACCTTGCTGCTTTCTCCTCACCTTATGCATCTCTCACCAGATTGGAAATGGAGTAAAAGAGGGGGTTTAGAGAGTGGTTACTAAGCAGCAAGGAGGCAGCATTATGTCTGTGTCAGGTTGAATGAATAGCTTCACTGTTTGGAGGCACTGAGGAATTTTGGACGTACAGTCCAGCGAGTCACAAAAGGTCTTTGGGAGGGAGGCAGTGGGGAGAGGGCAATGTTGGGATACAGCTGATAGAGTTTCAGAAACTTTATTTGTGCTGAACTTGATATCACTTGTGACTCTCCTGGGGTCTCTCAGATGCACCAAAATATTTGAACATTGGTCTCAATATGGTGAAAGCATATTTAAGAGTGCCTTATCCTACGTAACACTTCTGCTCAGCAGACTCTGGTGCAAACATTTGCTGTGCTCCTGCAACTGAAGCAGCCTTAATTTATATAATTAAGGAGGGATTAGCTGTGTTGAGAAGATCTCCAAACAGAGCATTACAAGCCAGTGGAGGTTGCCCTTGAGTTTCTGGTAGAGCAGATTGGCTATATCACTCCTGGAAAGTAGCAGCCAAGAGAGAATTGGCAGTGGGAGCGTTCTTCCAAAATGGGAATACAGGATCTGCATCACCACTGTGCTCCCTCACATTTTGGTTCACAGAGGGTTTATCAGCCAAAGCCCTGAATGGCACAATAACAGAAGTGAATTCTGGCATCACACACAACTGGCAAACCTCTGCAGCCCGGGACCCTGCAGAGCCCTGGGTGTCTGTGGAGAGGCTGATCAGATGCTGCTCTGAAGTCATCGTGTGCTGCCACTGGCTCTGGGAGCATTTCAGCTGTTTTCATGTTTCTCTGGGGAATGCATCCTGCTGGCCCTGCTTAGAGGACTGCAAGTTGCACAGGCCTGTGGTAGGCATTCCCAGGGCTTAAGTAGCTTTCTGTGGGCTGGATCCAGCTTGTATTTAGCTAGCTATGCTCTAAAACATTGACTCTTGGGCAGTGCCAGTGGCGAGTCACCAAAAATGAAGAATCTATGGTTTGATCTGTTTTGAGGAAAGGCTTCAAGTACAGCAGTTTTTGTGGAATTCAAAAGGAACTGAGTGTCCAGGACTCATAGAAACAAAGCCTGAATTCTTTCATTAAATTTAGACTCTAGCTTTGAAAGGAAACAGAGCATCCTGTTAGGCTTTGACTTTCCATGGTACAAACATTGCCCTATTATCTAATAACTTGCATTTCATTCTTCATTTTTATTCTTTTGTCTCAGAAGTAATGTGTAAATTTCTAAACAAATGGACAGTATAACTTTTTAGATTGGAAGCATACCTTGACTGAAATCTGTTTCCTTCCCCTTCCTCCCAGGAATTCTCAGAACTGGAGAAAAGAGATCCTCAGGAGCTAGTTGGTAAGTTCTCTCAGAAGTATTTATTCACATGTTTTTTTCAAACTAGACCACCTAGGTACCCCCTTTGTAAAAAGTGTTTTCACTCTGTCCTGACAATGCTGTAGTTTGAATTATTGCCTGCAATGTTTTATCTCAGTGGAATATTTTCAGTGAAGTCTTCTTTTGGGAGAAGGAGTACCATGCCTAAAAATACAAAAATATTTTCATATATTACATGTCTAAGATATATATGTAAAGGGCAGTGTTGGCGTTTTTTGAGATGAGCTTAAAAACAATAAAGCAATAACTTCGTCCAGACACCTCTGTGACAGCCAGTATAACTGGGAATGATGATACTTTGTTCTGTGGCTTCAAAAACTTACCTAAAATATCCTCATTTAAATGTGATCATAGAACCATAGAATGGTTTGTATTGGAAGGGATCTTTAGAGGTCATCCAGCCCAACCCCCCTGCAGCAAGCAGGGACATCTTTAACTCGATCAGGTGCTCAGAGCCCCGTCCAACCTGACCTTGAATGTTTCTAGGGAAGGGGCCTCCACTACCTCTCTGGGCAACCTGTTCCAGTGCTTCACCACCCTCATTGTAAGAAAGTTCTTCCTTATATCCAGCCTGAATCTATTCTTTAGTTTAAATCCATTATTCCTTGTCCTGTCACAACAGGCCTTGCTAAAAAGATTGTCCCCATCCTTCCTATAGGCCCCCTTTAAGTACTGAAAGGCTGCAATAAGGTCTCCCTGCAGCATTCTCTTCTCCAGGCTGAACAACCTCAACTCTCTCAGCCACATAGCAATTTATAGCTGCTGTGTTGACACAGTGTACCGTATGTTTTCTAAGGGTTACTGAAACTTATTTGATTTTTGTGACAACTCACTTATTCATTGCACCATTATTAGATTTGGAAAAAATGCTTGGGAAGTCCAGGGTCATCAGCTTGAAATAGACCTCTGCTGGGTCTCTGTGGAGCTGTACAGAAAGTGTATTTTATGTTGAAGCTCTGACTATCTTGAACTAACCCTTTGTTCCTGAGGTTACTAGTACAGTTGTGTAGTAGCATGTAACATTAAAAAAAAATCATGAGTTTAGAAGTTGCTTCATTATCTGTCAAGTCAGCTTGTCAAGGCTTGAGCATGGTATTTCAGCCATGATGTGTGATAAATGTAGAATAATACAAAAAATACTAGGATGCTAAGCTGTGACTCCTACAACAGCCATCACTCTGAAGTTTTGGACTTAAATCTTTTTCAGTTGGCCTGCCCAGACTTTGCACCAACCCAACTGTTTTATTGAATTTTCATCTTTTAGAGGGCAAAACTGCTTTAACCAGTCTCAGCATAGAGTGCAACAGAGATCTTTCTCCAAACTACTGATCTGCTTCCAAATGCACACTAGAAACACAGATGAGACAGCAGCATTTAGGGTAAAAGGTAAAGAAGAACATCTGAAAGCCAACTGCCCTTCTACTCTCTACTTTACATATGGGTGAAGCTCCACACTTGTAAAGCAATGTGGTGGGAAGTCCTTTCTTGGTTAAGGTGTAAGGCTCAGGTTACAATTTTGTTAGTCTCCTTTTTCCCCCAGTGACTGCCCCATCCACAGGAGATTAGAAGGTTGAATGTCATTTGTCTCATGATAGCCCAGACTTGCATGCAGGCTTAAAAGCTGCACAGAGGGCACTTATTACAGTGTCACACACTCGTGAGCGGACAGTGTTGGTGAGTCTGAGACCTGCGTTAAGGTTTGCAATATATCTTTAATATCCTTTCTCAATAGTAGCACATACAGAGCATGTAGGCTAGCCTTGTGCAGAACCAGGTTATTGGAAGTCAGCATACTTGCTGTGCTGGATTCTGTAGGTCTTTTGCATCAGACCATATCTTATCTAGTTGAAAAGGAACTGTTGCAAGAGCCTTATGGTTGGTGTAATGTGAGAACCACTCCCTTCCCGGAAACTTGGACTCTTAGAGTTAGAATTCTTGAATGGAGAAAGGTGCAGGATTTTCTGACACAAAGCAAGTAACTTCTCCAACCTGGACATCTCAAGTTTTGTCTAATATCAGTATGTGGAAGTCAGAGTCTTCCTTAGACAGTTTTCCACAACTGCTCTTTGCATTAAAAGCTTGTGGGCCTGTCCTTCTCAGAAGGTAACCTTACATTGTTCACCGTAACCCTTACTAAAGTCCGTGGTTATGTAGTTGCTTAACTACAGCATACATGTAGGCTCCTGCCAAAAGTAATGTTTCTGTTTTACCTCCCTTGGACACATGCTAACATTTGTGTGCCTTGAGCTGGTCTGGGAGTTGGAGCCAGCTGAAATTCACCTTCAGTGCTTCACCCCCCCCGCCCTGAGGCTTCCAGCTGGATCCATTCCCTGATCTGCTTAGTGCATGCTAGGTAAGCACTAGAGTTGACACAAAGAAAACAGCAGGGATGAGCAGCTGGGAAGGGCATGGTCCTGATTTATTCTGAAATAGTGATCATATAATCAAAGCCTGAAAGAATGGGAGGGGAGGTTTCCAGCAGCAACTGCCCTGTGGTTGAGGAGAAAGTATATGTGAAACTTATTTTGATAGATTTCTGCATCAGTGTTGTCCTTTTGGGTTTTTTGTACTGCTCTGAAGAGTACACGGTGCTGGCAGACATTGCATTTGCTGTTTCCTGCAGCCTTGCAAAATAATACTTTTAGGATGCACTTTTTTGCCCTGAAGCTCTTTGCAGCATGGTTGTTTACCTTTTGGACTGTAAGAAATGTTCTCTCCAGCCCTTAGGATATCTGAGCACAAAGTCAGTGTTCATAAGAGCAGAAAATGTGGCTGAGTTGCAGGTCTCTTTCTGCATTTCTCAGCCCACAGAGCAGAAAGGGAACTAGTGTCCTTCCATGGATGGGTGACTCACTGGCATGTTGTTGCCTCCAGTTCTTCCCTCCGATTTGGCTGTTCTGGTGCCAGGAAATCAGAAACCCACACACCCTGGTTTATGCCAAGCAGACTTGATTAGAGTGCCAAAGAATGCAGTTTTGGAGACCAGGCACCACTGGTTTGCATGTCTCCGGGGGAAGGCCATGCCCCTCTGATTACCCTTTACAGGTCTTTGCTTGTTTTTTTGCATAGTGTGACCTTTATAGACAAACTGATACTGCCTGTAGTCCCTTGTGGCTGCTTAAGACACAGCATACAAGTGAACCTTGCAAGGGACAGGAGTTCTTAATCCTACCTGGGGAGCAGTGTTATTCACTGAAAGCACTGAGGCAAGATGCTTTACCAGACCTCAGATGATCCATACCCCAATCTGTCCAGGTACAGACAGCGCTCTATTCCTATGCTCTCTATTCTTTCATTTTTTTCTGCACTAGGAAAAAGTGCCTACCCATCTGTAGGAAACAAAGTTCCTGTGTGCCCCCTATCCATGTCTCCAGCTAGCCTTTGGACTGTGGGCAGTCATCTCCTTCTGGAAGGAACTGAGGGCACAGTTTGCGCTGTGGTACTTTCTCTCCTGATATGCAGTATGTCTTTGTACTGTTGGATGTACTGGTCAAATAACCCATCTGTCTCAAACTGAAGCAGATTAAATTTAGAATTTCCATTTAATTATCTGCCTCACCAAGATATGGCAAGCAAACATCCTCCACTGACTACTGAGATGCTGAATCTTTGCTAGGTACACCCTAATAGTTGGCTGTGCTTTGGCCTGCTATGCAGAGCTTGGGAGTAGCTGAATGTCTCTACCTTGCCATAGTGCATATGCTGACTGCACAAAAAGCTACAAGCCCCTATTGCTTGTGCTGATGCAATTTTTAACTTTTAGGTCAGCTTGTGAAAGGAGAATGCACGGACTAAGCACCAGTGGCAGTGTCCTTCAGCAGCAGGATGCTTAAGTTGCAGACCTGGCAGTGCATTGGCTCCTACTTTCTTGAACCCATATATGAGTCATGGGATCTGCTTTATGGCCTTAGTTCTTTATCTGGACTGTGAATCTGATTAGGGGAAGATACTTAATTACTGTGGGCCAGAATCTAGGTGTGCCTGTGGTGATTAATCGTGCCAACAGCCAACTTCCTGAGGTCCCCACATGGAGATCCTCTAGGCTGTGAGCCAGAAGATTGCAGGCCCAATTAGAGATTGTGGCTAGTGTCACTATCTATGACTCATATAAAAGTAAAACTTTGATCTTGGCAGAAATAACAGGATGCACAAAGCAGTTTGATGTATCCTGTAAGGACACACCTTGTTGTTAGCTGTCCATCTGCATTTACCGCTGTATAGGCAGCGGAAAGCTGTGCTTGGGACTTTGAAAACACGAACTCTTTTATACAGGAGCCTGTGGCCCTATATGCAAGTTCCAGGACTATTTTGAATCATAATCCC